TCAATTGTTGCTAGTATATGAGTACATGGAAAATAACAGTCTTGCTCGTGCTATATTTGGTAAACTTCAAACACATGCTTCACTTTATTGCTTTTTGTATCAGACTACGAATAGGCAGACATGATTATTTATGTGTATGCTTCAGCTGATTAGTATGTTTATGTACTCGATAATTTGGTGATTTGAAAGGCCCAGAAGAATTCCAGTTGAAATTGGATTGGCCAACTAGGAAAAAGATCTGCATTGGTATAGCTAGAGGTTTGGCTTATCTCCATGAAGAATCAAGACTAAAGATTGTCCATAGAGATGTCAAGGCCACCAATGTGCTGCTTGATAAGGATCTCAAACCTAAGATATCTGATTTTGGTTTGGCCAAACTTGCTGAAGAGGACAATACCCACATAATCACTCGGATTGCTGGAACTTAGTGAGTCACCAGCTGTAATTCATTACTATCATTATTTTCATTCTGTACGAGTTATTAATATTATTGTCATCATCATATCATTGCAAATATTTATATAGCAGATTTTTCTTTTTCCAAAATGACTTGACTCACACATGGCCAGTCCATTTACGGGTGTGCCCTGTGGAACATATGCCAAGTACTAGTTTGTTTTTACTAGTGAGAACAATATTGTTTGACAACTTATCTCACACAGAGAATTTACAGTGGATATATGGCACCTGAATATGCAATGCGGGGTTACCTGACTGACAAAGCAGATGTGTATAGTTTTGGAATTGTTGCGTTGGAAATTGTCAGCGGGAGGAGTAACACCAGCTACCTGCCAAAGGAGGAATGCTTTTACCTTCTTGATTGGGTAATTTCATTGTCTTGCATCTATTGTTTCTACTTTTTATTATTATTATTATTGTCAGTATATTTTAAGCCGTGTTTGTTGTTTAAACAAAGCAGATCAAGAAAATGTTTCTAAAAACTGGCCATTAACCTCATGTGCTTTGCCAGAAGGTTAATACTTAATAAACATATAGCAGTTCTTCAAAGATGAATATCACTTTGTGCAAAACAGGCTGGCAGATAATATCACATTCATTCAATATCGTATGAAACTTTGGCTAAGGAATATACTAGTACTGAAATCACGATGATATGCTCTTTGTTCGACACTGTCACACTGGGGAACTTTTAAACAAAGGGAGCTTTGGTGAATTGGTGCCCCTTACTTCCAATCACAATGCACGCGCCCAATCATACTTAAATTCTAACATATCAATTTGATATTTTTCCTAGGCACTTCAATTGAAGGAGAAGGGGGATCTGCTGGAGCTAGTCGATCCGAGGGTGGGACCGGACTTCAACAAAGAAGAGGTGATGGGGATGATTAAAATAGCTCTGCTGTGTACTGATGTCTCGCCAGCAGTTAGACCTACCATGTCTTCAGTGGTCAGCATGATTGAAGGTAGAGCAATTGTTCAGGAGTTGGTTCCAAGTGCTCCAAATGGCGACATGAAGGTCAAGGAAATGAAAGATGTGTACCAACACAGCCATGAAACTAACATGAGTGAAAGTCAAGGCCTGATCCAGAGTAGTAGTTCAGTTGACGGGGCCATGGACCGCCTCTCCCACATCTACAGCTGATCTCTATCCGGTCAATCTGAATTCTGATTATTTGGCTAGCAGAAATTAGATAAATGGTCCATGTTTTGACTGGTTATCATCTTGTTTATCCTTGCCACTGCATGATATTAAATTTCCTTCTTTCATTTTTCTCTTACACATACCTTACACCATACGAATTCATAATTTGCTTAAACATTGCATAAAAAATCCCATAGCAAAAACATACATTTTTCTGTTGAGTGTTTGAATTCCATTAGTGAATCAGAGATTGGTACTTTATTTTGTTGGTCTTTTGTGATGCTTTGTATCATTGTTATTATTATGAATGGCAGTTTAATGATCCTTTTTGAAATTTATTTATATATAAGTGGGATATATTTTTGGTATATATGTGTGCGCGCGCGCGCGCATGTGGGAGTCAAGTGTTACTACTATCCAATTGATACTGTTTGTTTTTCCTTTTCCTTTGTCGTTTGTGGCTATACAAAAGCTTATTCATTTGAAGGAAACCTTTTCTTTTGTTTTATTTTTCTTGGAAAACGTTTGTCATGAATTTCTTTTTAAATTTCTAGGGGTTGAGGTTCTGTTGGTATTGCATTATTTAAAAGTTTCTAATAAATTTGAGAGAGTGGGATCTTGTCTCATAAGATCTTATATGGGGAACCTGTTGCTGTTGCTCATTTCGATGGACAATTCGTTTGGTTTTGTTGATAATTTCACTAGTTCGCAGATGGTATGAGCTCTTATTATTTGAGGAGGTTGAGTTTTCTAGAATTCTGTGGAGATACAATTAATAGGTGTGTGTCTCTTGAGTACTGGACTAAAAACAATAAAAATTCCTTTCCAAAGAGATTACATCTGATTTTTTTAAGTAATGAGATTTTATTTGACAAGCCCCTCTTGAAAAAGTATTACCACAGGATATGGTATTCCGAGACAATGGGAGTTTTTGGATCGTGAATGTGGTAGTAAATTTCATCACATCTAACAACTGGATTATGAATGTGGTGGCAGATCCTACCACATCCAACAACTAGGATGACCATGGTATTTAATATTTTCTGAGGGAAAGAAAAAGAAATGAAATTCCATTTATGTGGTGGTCCACGAGTGATTATAAATATTTGAAGGATTATTTCAGCCCCAAAGGAAAGAAAAAGAATTGAGATTGGATTTCAAATGAAACTCCATTCATGTGGTAGTCCAGGAATTGATTATAAATATTTGAAGGATTATTTTTGCCCTAGAGGGGAAGAAAAAGAAATGGAATTCCTATTTTAAATGAAATTCCATTTGTGTGGTGCTCCGGGAAGTGATTAATAATTATAGATTTTTTTAAGGATCATTTCAGCCCCAATGGAAAAGAAAAAGAAAAAGAAATGGGATTGGACTTTAAACAAAATTCCATTTGTGTGGTGGTCTAAGGAGTGATTATAGATATATGAAAGATTACCTCAGCACCCAAATGAAAAAAAAAAAAAAAATTGGCATCGAATTTTAAATGAAAATCTATTTGTGAGGTGGTCAGGGAGTGATTTTAAAAATTTGAAGGATTTAAAATGAAATTCAATTTGTGTGGTGGTCCGAGGAGTGATTATAGATATATAAAGGACTACTTCAGCCCCGAGGGGGGGGGGAGGGGGGAGGGGATTTTAAATGAAATTCCATTTATGTTGTTTTCGTGGGAGTGAAAGATTACTTTGCCCCCAAAGGAAGAAAAAAACAAATGGGATTGGATTTTAAATGAAATTCCATTTGTGTATTTTAAATAAATAAAATTCTATTAGTGTATTTGGAATAAATTGAAAGTTGATTTTAAATGAAATTTTTTTTTTTTCCCCGTTTATCCTTATTAATTATAAAGACAATTACAATATTATGTTTCACTGACAAGAAAAGCAAATTCGGTCTGTTAGAAACTTATAACTAAACTAATTTACAAATCTCATTAAATTCCACTAATTTTCATGGAATTTGAAAACACTATATTTTGAAATTTCAAATGCCATTGAATCCAATTCCATGGTATCAAAGAGGGCAATACTCCTAGGTATCCATTTTAAATTTCTTTGATTCCGGGTACTAGGAATTCCAATTTTAATTCCAAATCCCACTAAATTCCAATATTCCAAACGCATGTGTTTGATTTAGTGATTTATCTTTACCATTCCTAGGTCCTAAAATGGTGCAACAACAAAATTAGATCTGTAAAATTAATTGAGATTTAAAGTTTGAATTATATAAATAGACTTGTATAAATTTTCATTATGATTTAAAATATAATTCTAGAATAATGATTTATGAATCGAATTCGGCACCGAATTCAACTTATACAAGTGAGGTGGTGGGTCCCATCATAGTCACGTGAATATGTGATGAGACCCACCACCTCTCTTATGAACAGAACGAAGTACATTTTATTGGGAGCAATTGCCCCCATTTGAAAAAAAAAAAAAAAATCATTTTTTTACCCTACTATTTTGTCATTCTAATAAATATACTTACGAAATATTAACTTTGTCCCCATAAAATTATTTTTAGAATTTAGTATTCCCTCCCCCCTTGATTTTTTGAGCCGGTTCCTGACCTCTTTCACATAAATTGAATTCGGTAATTGTCGAATTCGTTCCCTAAATCACTACTCTAATTTTTATTATCTGTAAACATTTTCATTTTTAACTCCACTTATTCGTTTTGCATGTCATCGTCTTCTATTTTTTATTTTTTTTTTGAGTGAGTGTGGGTTTGGCAAGATAAAATTTCATGTGAGGTTCATTTCATAGTTGTGGCTAATAACTTACCACTGATCCATTAACTAAACTAAATGGTAACAAAACGAGTGGTGTAACGTTAATTCCGTAGAAGTAATGACACTAAAAACCAACAGAACAATTTTGAATTTGACTCTAAAAAACAATGGTCAAGTTTTGAATTTCTAGCTATTGTCTTGTACATTCTCTTTCTAATCCTGTGGGTTCATGTGCATGGTAATCACAGTTGGATTATTGACCATGCAATTTAATTATCAACTTTAAATCTCATATATACAACCTCCAACAATCATAACATGCATAAGAGCATTCCATCTCATATAATTATCCAATGTTAGCTCTCCATTATTGAATAATAAAAAGTTTTTGAACTGACGTGGCTCTCCGCTTAAATTGGGTCAGCCCAACCGAAATGGTGTTGATTGAACTGGACAATTTTATTATTATTATTATTTTATATTTTTGTAAAAATTTTAAGACTTATCTATATGTAATATATTTATAGACATATTGCACAAAACCTCCTTCTGAATAGAGAGTTGAGAAAGCAAAATCTCCATCAAAAGGAGGAAGGTAAATACAATGTGTGGAGCAAAAACAAATTAAAAAAAAGAAGGATATTATTAGTGTGGCGAGTATCTGTGTGGGGACCGCATATGGAGAGCCCCACGCCAGAAAATTCACTACCTGCAAAAGGCCAATACTCTCGCTTTTCTGCCATGGATGCTCTAAAATCAGACACAAATAACATATTAGAATCTAATCTTTTACAGTTTTTTTTTCACATTTCACATTGTAAGATTTAGATTTGCTTGTCACTAATTTTCACGTATGTGTGTGTGTGTATATATATCATGAAATGTATATCACTCATTTTCGTTAATATATGTATTTATGTCATATCCTGTAATAAATAGTATAATTGTTAAGCTATTTCATTAATATATGTATTTATCTTATATAATATGTAATAAATGTAGAAAAGAGTCGTTATGTGTGTTAACTCAATAATCCTTGACCAACCCATCGTAATTCCTTTCTGTAAAGCATTAGTTCTCTCTCTCCCTCTCTCTCTATATATGTGTATGTATATAACTATATATATAGATATCTCTTTCCCTGCCCAGTTTTGATTTAATCTAAAATGGCTTTCTGGTTGGTCTTTTGTGGTCACATTGTTGTTTTTCTGTCTCTGGTGGCATTTGTGACATCCCTCCAAGTAAATGGAGAGAAGATATATAAGATGACCAGCCAATCATCATCAAACGGCTGTGATCTTTTCAGAGGGAGTTGGGTATTTGATGATACCTATCCCCTCTATGATGCCTCTGATTGTCCTTTCATTGGACTGAATTGTCAGAAGAGTGGGAGACCTGATAATATGTACCTCAAATATAGATGGAAGCCAGATGGTTGTGACCTTTCAAGGTATTATTCTCAACCCTTGTTTCTTTCTTTTCTAAAGAATAATCCCATGCTCTACTTTAGGAATAGTCATAACACGGAGAAACATGACAGTTTGGGAAAAAACTTTATTTGTTGAATAAAATGAGTTCATGACAGTTAATTTGATATCTTTATGTTGTGTAAAGAAACATGTGTCGAGATTGGACAATGATAGAGAATCTGACTGAATTCAGACTCCCAAACATTTTCTGAAATTTTTGTTTTTTTTTTTTTTTTTTGGCGTAATTTTTGTTTTGGTGATATTGTGGTGTAGTTTCAATGGACAGAATTTGTTGGAGGAATTTAGGGGCAAAAAGATCATGTTTGTGGGGGACTCTTTAAGCTTGAACCAGTGGCAGTCACTAATATGCATGCTTCACACTGCACTCCCAAGGTCCAATTACACCTTAGTCAGCAGAGGGCTGCTCTCCACATTTTCATTTCCCGTAAGTCTATAAATTTTCACTCTTTACAAATCCTCGAATTTTTCGATCATAAATCCCAGTTGATAGCCAAGAAAATAAAAGAAAATGAAAGTAAACTAGTTATAAATACCATGTATGATACTATGATATAGCAACCCTTACCTTAGCCAGACATAATATTGTCCGTCACCCATCCTGATACTTCTCCAGGTTAAGCAAGCTTAAATATGAAGTTCTGGTAAGTTCCCAAACTTCACGGCCAGCACGGTTTTAAAACACGTTGAGTAATAGAAAAGTGTTGAATCTAGCACTAGCCCCATTCCAAACCTAGAAAGCATGTTCATAATTTTAAAATAGTCCTACCAAGTTGATTGCATTGTTCTGAATATTGTGTATACACACCTATGAGCAGATGAGCATGGAGAAATACATGGGACAGAGATAAATAACATTGTGTAGGTTCTTTAACAATATAAATTAGAGATATCAAATCACAAATACGAGGGGCCAGGGAAGAAAGTAGACTAGATTAGAGGAATTTTCAGTGAAGGAGGGAATCTCTGGTTAAGCCTCCCTTGAATGTTCAATTTAATGGGCTTTTTATAGCCTAACCCAAGGCCAAGGGTGGTTGATAACCGTTGGTTTTCTCGCGATACTGGTTATTACCCTCGACATGTGATACTAGTTCATGAGGGGTCTATGTACCTGAAGGGTCTAATCCCTTCTTGAGCACACCTCTATTTAGACTTGTTCTTGACATTAAATGTATTCGGCGCTATAACGGCATTAGCTGTATGTATTAATGACTCTGCAAGAGTCACTAATGTAACGATAACGATCTATTGTTCTAGACATGTGATTTATTATTTCTCTTAGTAAACCCACATTTATCTTTAGGGGTTATTTAAATTTTTATCTTTCAATCCAAAATTCTTATAAAGGTCTTAGGGTTTATGAGTGAGTCCTACCTTTATCTCATTAATTTTATTAGTTTGTCGTATGAATCTTTTATTTGAGGTATAAAAGAGGTTTTGTGTGTGCGCCTGAGATTGCAATCTTGAGGCCTCACGATCTAGGTAATTTATTTGTTGTGGCTTTATGCTTGAGGTTTGTTCTCCCGAGATTTAGTAACCTGGTAGCTTTTGCTAGGGTTTTGTTTGTGACCCTGAGTATGATTTATTCAATGCCCGTGACCTGGCCATTCTTGTTAGGCTTTTCTGTGCTTGTTCTTTCGTGATTTAGTGACCTAGTAATTCTTTACTAGGGTTTAACTTGCCCGGGGTTATGTTTTCGAGGCTAGATGATCAGGCAATTCTTTGCTAGGGTTTTGTATGTTTGGTTTAACCATCATTTTATGTGGTTGAAAAGAAGATACAGTCCTGGCTTTTTTGTTTTTTTTAAGTGTCACGTCATCTTCTTTTGACTATTTAAAATGTCATGTGAGCTTTTGTTGACTTTTGAACATGCCATGTGGCAGCCACTTCCCAACACCTACACACTATTACGCAGCACGTGGATGTATTTTATATATATATATGCACCATTGCACACTATACATTCACCTGCAGGCAGCATTGTCACATAGAACATTAATTGCCCATTTTGTATAGTAGGCTTGTGTCCCAGTTACAGCTTTTTATCAAATGTATCTTGACTTGTTGATAACTCTCAAGCGTGAGTTTTCTTACTCATTTTTGGATATGCAGTTCTCAATTTTTCGACAAAACAATAAACTGTTTGATCTTTTTGTTAAGGATTATGGAGTTTCCGTTATGTTTTTGAAGAATGGATTTCTAGTGGACATAGCTGTTGAAAAAATAGGCCGAGTTCTAAAGCTGGACTCAATCAGCACCGGCAACCAGTGGAAAGGAGTCGATGTTTTGATCTTCAACAGCTATCACTGGTGGACTCACGAGGGTCGCTTTCAAACGTGTGATTTCAATCACATTTCCTACTATGCGTGTGTGTGTGTGTGTGTCAGTGTGTGTAATGAATCTGATGTTGTGATGCAGATGGGATTACTTTGAAGTTGGTGGTAATTTATCCAAAAACATGGATCATATGGAAGCTTACAAAATAGCTTTGACAACTTGGGCTCAATGGGTTGATTCCAACATAGATCCTTCAAAGACAAGACTCTTCTTCCAAGGAATTTCTGCAGTCCATTACCAGTAAGCACTTATCTATATTCAATTAAATTACTAAATTAATTGTTTTATACATGTTTTCAAGTAGTTTCAGAATTACCTGTTTGTGATTTCATCTGGATCATGTATCAGTGGGAAGGAATGGAATGAACCAAAAGTGAGGAGCTGTGAAGGGCAAACAAAACCAATAGAGGGATCAAATTATCCCGGCGATCATTATCCAGGAGAAGCAGTGGTGAAGAGCGTGTTGAGTAGCATGGAAAGGCCTCCCTTTTTGCTGGACATCACATTGCTCACTCAATTAAGGAAAGATGGTCACCCATCCAAATATGCTGGCGGTGATGGTGGCAGTGCCACAGCCACGGACTGCAGTCACTGGTGCCTCGCTGGTGTTCCTGATACCTGGAACCAACTTTTATACACAATTTTGTTCAACAAGTAATTTTTTTTTTTTTTTTTTTTTTTTTTTTTAAATGGTGAGGTTGAGATGGAGTGTGTTCGTTTTATATCATGGCTAATCAATAGATAAACAATTTTGGGGCAAATGCAACAATTAGTCTATTTCAAGGGAGTTTGATATCGTTTTGTTTGGATTCAATCTAACATAATTTAAGCTGCAGTTGAATTCTGATGATGGTAGAAGACAGTGAGAAACAGGAAGAAGACTGAGAAATTCCCAAACCAGTGACGACAAGGCAAACATTGGTAATTTCACCAGGACCTCGTAGACCTTACAAACTAGATCACAAGCGTTACTGTTTCAAATTTGGGAAAGAAATTGTTTGGAAGATGGAATAATTTGTCCCAGTAAATGCTCATTTCCAAGATTTGGTGGAGAGGATCAGACCTAATTGTCAAGAGTAAGAATAGGCAAAAACCATCAATTTCATGCTGGAACACAATTTTAAAAGAGTGTAAATGTCAAATATGGCCATTGATATGATAAATTGGTTAAACTCACCCCAATATGCTATTGGTTTTCCAAAAGATCAGTTCAGAAGAAGAAAAAACTCACCGTGAAGCCATTCGACTGGGTTTAAGAAGCCAAGCAAGGAGAACCAAGACCCTCTACTTACTTTTTGCCGAGTTGCTATTATACCATTTCACCCAAAGGCCATTAAGCAAAATCAACGAAGCCCACATGTATATATGCCAGAGAAACAAACTGATTCAATTCAAATGCCAAAATGTAATGAATTAACATTGTAGGGGTTCAAGAAACAAAAATTGTATCACAGAGAGTAGATTAGAGAACAATGAACAACATAAGAGGAGTTTACCCACATATATATATATATATATATATATATATATATATATATATTGAAATTTGTTCTCTCTCCATGTTTACAACCATGAACTCTCAACGTTTCCAAACGTGCTTACAATCTACTTCTGCCTCTGTACCCTTTTGTCCCTAATTGGCAGCTCAATGGGTTTTTGGGCCTCGTGTGGATGATCAGGGCCCTTGTACACCTTGAGATGGTTGAATATCGCTCTGCCAAGCTGCACAAACGAGTAAATTTGAAACAGCTTATTACGATTTAGCACAAGAATTAGCATAACTCTAGACACTTATTTTTGTTAAATCATTTGGAATATATATATATATATATATATTGAATGATTAAGGCTGAAACTGATACGGCCACACGAGGAGGACAATCTGTAGTAGATTAAGTTACAAAGAAAGTATATTTTTACTACCGATATTCACATGTTTGCAATAGCTCCACATAAGCGAAATAATGCTTTGTGAGGTGTAACAGGATATCCTTAGTGTAAGATCTACACAGTGTAATTTGATAATTATCTTTCTAGGCATTATTCCCCCACTTACAGCTAATCATTGTGACAGTTACCTCCACATGGCACTCCCACAGCTAGCTCAACGGCCCATATTGGGTGGCCTACACGTTGCTTCATTTCAGTGCTCCTACTGTCCTATCAACACTCCAGCGCATACCAAATTAGTTTCTCAAGGAGTCCCACATTAACAGTTCCACGGCCTTGAACGCTGACACTAAGGGCTAGTTTGGTGTGATGGAATGAATTGGAATGGAATGAGAATGGAGATGGGAATGGAATGGTCATTCCTTTTGTTTGAAGGTGGAATGATTTAAATGGAATGACCATTCTCCAAGAATAGTAGGGAATGATGATTCCAACTTTAAAATTGACACCAAACACGAGAATGGAAAAAAAATCATTCCATTCCACTTTCTTTTATTCCATTCCACCACACCAAACTAGCCCTAAAAGCAATGCTGACACATGCACACACACCATATTGTCCCTTGTGGGGCTTGAAACGCTCACCTCCCTTTGGGGGAGGAGAACTCGTACAACCTGGGCCAATGGCCTAGGGCCAGTGGTAAGTACTCCCCATACTTATTAAACCTACATCTCTAGGTGTTTAAAATAAATAAATATGCAGAACCATAAACATATAACTCAGTTCAGGTTCATTAACATGGTAAATAAAAACATAAATGCCCTGTTCTCAATTGACAATTTTTTAGCTTATAATAATATATTTTCTTAAAAAGAATCACAAACAAATAACTCACCCTCCCTTTGGGAAGCATGCCACGAACCGCATGCTCAATAATTCTTTCTGGAATTCTCTGCTGGAGCTGCTCAAAGGTTTCCACTTTCATCCCACCTGGCCTTCCTGAATGCCTCCTATAGAGCTTCTGGGTCCTCTTTTTACCAGATACCGCAATTTTTTCAGCATTCACCTATTTGAGTTCACGCAGGATACTGGTCAAATTTATTTATCTATTGGCAACATTATTGTAACTATTTTATGTCAAAAGAGCACATTATGAACATTAATGTTACATAACATTGTTTAGGTAATGAGCCACCACATAAGCATATGCACATACTGCAATGAAAAATTATCTGAAGTTCTATAAATATCTATGATTTCCCCTCAGTTAAACCCCATCCATATGGATAAAAGCAAGAATGATAATTTCTCATCAGTTAAAAAACTATTATGCATCCATCACTACACAAAAAGTTGATAATGAATCAAACCATTTTTTGACAAAAACAATGAATATAAGAAGAGAAAATTGATGATCTCAAACTGAGTCCAATTCATTGTTTTTGTAGTTTAGTAATGACGGACAAGGGAAGACAATTTCTTGATACCCCACTTCAAAAATAATGACTTTCAAGGCTGCTCGATCTACAGTTGGATATTCTATTTCCATGGATATCAAACATTACATAGAAGAATTAGCACTTTCTATGAAAGGTACATACCACGATGACAAAAGCCCCCATGTCGACACTGGGAGTATAGGTCACCAGATTCTTCCCACGGATATGAATAGCTATAGTCGATGCTAGTCTTCCAAGAATCTTATCAGTAGCATCAACAACATACCAGGTTTTATTTGTGTTTACATGGTCTGCAGCTTTAGGATACCATGTCGTATTCCATATATCCTGAAAAAGAAAAAAATATGCTCAGAAGGAGCCCGATCTAACATAAGCGATTCAAGAGCAGCAGTTATATATAAAATTAAATTAATAACTCAAAAACAAATAGTAAGTATCCCGATTGCAAATTTTGAAATGAATCTTTAAGTTAGCATGACATTCTTGTTGAATTTTCAATATCAAGTCAACACTTGAACAACTATTTTCAATAATAATAATAATAATTTATACCTATTAATTTAATTGCAGAGTGATGGTCTACCTCTCTCTCATTGGCTTTGGATCTTAATTTTCAAGTCCCAGGTCCAAGTTTCGAGACTAGTAAAGAGAAGGAAGAAAAAAAGAAATTTAAATGCAAAGTCCGGAGACTTAGAAGCCCAAACACAAAAATATCCTCGACTGTTTGACTCTTTTAAACGTCAAGTCTCAAAATATGGGAAGCTCATTTATTTGTATATGGGTGAGTAATTCATTAATATAATGAAAAGAATTGTATCCATTAAAGAAATAAGCTTACTTTGCATGTCTGTGTGATTCACTTCATATGGCCAATCAAGAGGACATCTTATAGTAAATACAAAACAATAAACAAGAAACATAACCTTAATTTAACAATAGCAGCTTAGCCGGTTATGCCCCTTTGTCTTATCACATGTTCGAAATATCTAGGTCCATACTCACAACTCCATATATCAAGAATTTCATCCAAGGAAGTTGAAATGAATTGATGGATTCAAAGCACCCTGCGGCTATAAGCATGCGATGTCATTTTTGGCTAAGATATAATATTCGATTCACACTTACCTTTCCCCTCCTTTCCCTTCTCTACCTCTCCCTTTTTACTTTGCTACATGCTTGCAATCGGGAAGCTTAAAAGAGACTACGAAAAACATTATTCAAACTTATTCAACCTACGCTTTAGCTCTAAGCTTGAGCAACCCCTGACATTGATTTCAACATTTGCTTTTAGTTTTAGGCATTGTGCTATTGTCATAAAATAAACCCACAAGACTTAACCAAAGAAATCACACGCACACACACAAATGTATGATGGAAATTCCGGTAAGATGGGTTATTAAGTATGCTTTTGGAGTTGACATAACAAAAACTGAGCTTGAACATGTTAAATTACCCTAATTCGGTTAATTACAAAGGTGGGGAGAAAAGAAGTTGAATGTTCGGGTCTCAATTGTTACTAGGCCAAAATTTGTGCTATTTAGGACTTAGAAAAATAAAACCTAATTCCAAACTTGTCAAAATCTCTCTCTTTCCTAAACTTTCAACCAAATGAACCAGGCGACCATATTATAAAGCAATGGAGGGTAATAACAATCCAAAATTAAATATTGTTAATTTTCTTTCGATTACTGCATTTTCTCAACAACCAAACAGAGCACGGAATAAAAACATTGACATAAATGTGTGTTAAAAGAGAGAGAGGGTTTACTGGGCCACCGATTTCGGATTCTTCAAACATCCACCGCTGGTCTAATGGGATAACAGCTGCTTTATCCTGACAGCGTATCTGGAAGGTCCGATTAGTACTGACCAGAGACGTGGTTCGAATGAAGGGCTTTGATGAGGCTGCGACTGAGAATCCGAGAAATGGAGTCTTATTCGCAGAGAGGCACAAGGGTTTCGGTGATGGAGACGCCATTACGGCCGTCGATGAAGCGCACGGTATCGCCATGCTCTCTCTCTCTCTACAACAAGCGTTGTTGGTCTTTTTAGTAGCAGTGAGAGTATACCATCAGCGTGTCTAACTGGATAAGATGGCGTTGGCGGTGAAGAAGGCTAAGGACAGAGATGGGTTTTGGTTTTAAAATGGGGGTGGGGATTTCTGTAATATGTTAGGGGCATATTGGGAATAAAATGTGAGCAAAACAGTCATATCTTGATGTTTATTGTTACACTTACCAAAACGCACCGTATCATTGTCATCGTCGTTGTCTTCTTCTTATTATTATTTTTATTTTTTTCTTCTTCTTATTATTATAATTTATTTTTATATTTCTTCCGAAGTTAAGACATCTCTTGTTTTCAACTTCACGGAAGCTATGCATTAACAACAAATAAATAAACACTTTGTAATTAAAAAATAATGATAGGCGCAAGCTTGATGGAGAAAATTTTTTTATTTATTTTTTTTTTTTTTACTTTTGTTAATATGTGAAATATGTCTCTTCTAGGTTTACACAATTAGTATAGATATTTTTATTAAATAAACAAAGTATTTAAATTTGTAACAAAATAACTAACAAATTTGTAATATAATATTATGTGGTGCTTTATTCACTTTTGATGTGGAACTTATATTCCTCCAAATGAGGGTAACAACTATAAAGGATTAGATGCTTCGCAATTCGATTCAAATATTTAAATTATTAGGAAAGACAAACACCATATCTATATATGCCTATTTATTTTTTTTATATAAATTTGATACAATAAACTATTAGGCGAATAATAAGTAAAACGTGCTAACTAACTCACCATTAAGCAAGTATGGTGATCTATATTTAATAGGTGTATTTATGGCTCGACAAATAGTCATAACGCATTAATTAGGATTAAGTAAATCCTGGCCAAAACATAGAAATATGTCACAATTATTTATGAGAACACACATTAAGACCACAAGATGGTCTCGAAAGCAAGCACCTATTACTATATTTCATCACTCACATGACAACAAAGCTCAAGTAGGAAGAGGCCAAATCTGGTTACAACAACATTGTTTTCGACACGCCCTCATATTCCTAAAGCATACGCTTCCCGTGTTTACATTACACCTTTCACCCTGTTTCATGTCTTTTATCTCCCACCTGAAAATGGCATCAACCATGAAGGAAATAATCCTCACTAGCTCCACTGACGGCCCCATTGTCGCCTGCGATGCTTCCTCGGGTGCCACCTTAGCTCGCTTCATGGGTAGCCGGTCACCTCGCAAAGGCCTCGCACTTGCGGGAAAGAAACTCATTGCTGCTTCTCATGTCTGCTCCGACACCGGTTCTGGCTCAGTTCACCTCTATAACTGGTGGTCCTCAACTTCGTTTCACAATCTCCCTGTTCCTGAACCCGTTGCTCCACTCGCTGCCACTCTTGACGGCTTGTATCTCTTCGCCGGTGGCCTTTCAGGCCATATCCATGCACTATCACTCCCTTCAGGAGACTTCGTCCATTCAGTTGCTGCTCACTCCAAAGCTGTATCTTGCCTTGAGATCAACCATGACGGTTCGCTTCTATTTTCGGGTAGTGATGACGGAACCATTGCAGTACTTCCAATCTATAAACTTTTGGATGATTCACCTAATAAGAATTCAACAAACATCATCTTACAGCGATTTGTTGGACATGGCTCTTCTGTAACTACCATTGTTACTGGTATTGGAGGATCCAACTGCACCATACTCTCGTGCTCATTGGACTGCACATGTAAGTTCTGGAGCCTTATGCACGGGACAGAGCTCCGTACAGTGGCATTCCCAAGTACAATTTGGAGTGCAGTGATAGACCCCACGGAGTCGGAGTTTTACATAGGAGGGTCGGATGGGTTAGTTTACAGTGCAGCACTGAAGGTGGCGGGCAGAAACCTGGTGAAACAAGGGCGTGAGATGGTCTCGTGGGCACAGAGGCATGACAGAGCAATTGTTGGCATGGCAATGATGAACAGGGGAAGAAATCTGGTCACTGCTTCGGAAGATGGGAGTGTTTGGATTTGGGAGGTGGAGAGAAGACAGGTGATTAAGGTTGTTCTTGATCAGGAGAAGGGAAGCATCAGTGAACTGCTCGTGGCCAAGGGGTTTGGTGATGGTGGAGAAAGTGGAGTTAGAATGGGCGGAGGCAACGCCGAGTCAAGTGGATGGAGTCTAGGGTTATCTGGTGGGGAGTTGAGTAGGCCAATAAGGGAAGTGATGGACATGGAACAGACGTTGAGTGTTCTGGCACAGGATAGGAGCAGAGCCATTGACACGCTCGGATCAGCTATTGAGACTTATGAGAAACTTTTGGAACTCATTCTCAAGGAGGCCAAAAGGGGAACTAACAGCAACAATAGTGATGAAGAATAGGCATGTAGACTCTACAATGAAATGCGGAGCAGCAGAACGATGTAGTAATGCAATATATTCTAACATAATATATTATTAATTGAGCTTCTTGTCATACAACATTTAGTGTACTACAAAGCTAACACACAGTTTTGGTATTTTGACCTTAAAATTTCCATCAAATCGGTTAAAGATATTCTAACTTAATATATTTATGAACTTTGGTTTGTCTTTACACATAGAAAACAAATTTGTCCGTGAATATTTTTATCTATGCTCTTCTCTATCTAACACTAATCCATATCCAACTTATAAGCAACTCAACTACAAACTGATATACTTGTGCTAATTCACACAACCTTAAATTATCAATGGTATGAGAGAGAATTACCGATAGATGAAACAGTACAACATAAGAAATAGCTCAAACGACTTGGACGCTGATGCTAAGAAATACCACGAAGACTGTAACTAGCAAACACCATCTATAAGGTGCCCAGTAGAGAAAGGAGCTTAGGGAGAATTGATTAGAAATTGCCTTTGCCTTCGCTTTTGCCGTTCCAAGTTGGTGCCATCGGGTTGATGACAGTGAGGATTCTGCATGGGCGAGGGGCATATGTCAGGCACAAAGATTGCAGTGTCAGATGAACTGTTATAAATTTTTGGCCAGAAAAGCCCCGAGTCTGTAGGTGGGGATGGGAGCTGTGGTACATTCCAGGATGCTTCTGGCACCAGACCCAGGTATTCATCACCATCCAGTTCTTCCCCAGCAGCTATTAAAATTGTGGAGCTGTCAGAGTCTCCAAGCTTACCGGTATCAGCCTGGTAAAATTCATTGCAAAGAAGATAAAAGATTAGGTCTGCATTGGTAAAGACCTGGAGAAAATAACAACAAACCAGGCCCATCAACCACCGTATTATTTTAAAGCGACAACTATAGGGCACATGGTTAACTCAATTTACAGCCAACTGGACCAACAAAAATATCAGGAAACTAGGTTCTAAATGTCTCGCAACAAATAAAGCTTAAGATCAAATTGAATGTTAACTAATCCAGTGTAGCTTTCAAAAAAGGGATTGAAAAACTCAACGCAGCTTAATTTGCAGAAGTTTAGCCAAGCTTATTATTGCTTGAATTTGTTGCATGGGCTGCAGATTACATTCTCACCAGAAGAGAAACGTTAAATGAGGCTGCATTTGGTTTCAGCCCATAATTGTCAGCAACTGTCTCATTTCTAATTGTGGACTCAAGAAATGCAAGTAAAGCAACATTGCATGACTTTTTCATCTTTGACACTACATGATTATAATTTATACGAGACTCTTGGAATCTAGATTTTTTATTAGACAAGGGGAGAGATGTCCTTCCAGCTTCTCCAAAAATTAGCACTAGTAAGATGACTCTTGACTTCTGGTGAAATTTTTAGCCAAATTCATCAAAGCACATTAAATTCGAACCAAATTCCCATTGGCTGCTTCTAGTCAACTTTTTTTTAATGCAGATTTAGTTAGGTTCGTTGATTCAGATTACAGAAATTTGTCAATACCAAATTCGTAATTGTAAGAGAGATGCCTTGGCTACTCTACAATCTGAAAAACCAACTTTGGGCAAGAGCATCCAAGAGTCCATCGGCTACAATAGGCTAAACACAAATTTGGACTATTAAAAACTAAACAACAGTTTAAAAGAAGTCATTGTCAAAACTAAAGTAAGATTCAAAGTACTACAAGCCGGCCTGTGTTGGACAAATCAAGCCCGGGCAGAATCTAGTATACCAGCATGCCAACTCGTTTCTAGAACTGATGATTAACATCAGACAATCTGGCCAAGGAACATCATTGTTGCACCAACTGTAGGATATATCATTCTTTCACCTTGATGGGTGGCATTTAATTATGCAGTATTGACATAGATGGGTGCAAGATACATTATAGTTTGCACCCTCCTTTGACATCTACGTACAAATGCTCAGACAGACCATAATTTATGGTCATTTTAGCATAAGTTTTTTTGCATCCTACATATATATGCATTAAATCTAACAAAATGACGAATAGCTAGAATTAACATCATACCTTGGATGATTCATTATCAATGTAGCTATAATTCTTATTAAATTCTGTTATCCCAAGAAATTCATCTAACTGCCACGATTGAATACTTCCACCTGAAGAATCTCCGGCAAATGGCAGCTTCGATGGTGCAAAATCCCCAGCTCCACCAGCTTGTATGGGTAATACTCTGTTGTATTGACCATCCAATGACATTGTGCTACCTCTTTTAGATAGAGAACGGGATTCTTTTTCTAAGATTTTTTCACCAGTGTGTGACTTCCCCAAAGAGGATATAACAGGTTCAGTTGATTCAAGCCCTACTTTCACTCCAGTAAGCAGAAACCTCCGGTGAGCAGAAACATAGGTGTTTGCTGTGTGTATGGCGACATCACATTTCCTGCAGAGTAAAGCTCGATCCTCCAGACAAAAGAAATAGCCAACTGTTTCCTGTATGAGATGCCAATTCATAAACCACTACCAAAAGAGGGGGGAGGGGAGTGAAAAAGGAATGCTGGTTCTGTGAGGATAGCTCAAGCCTCAAGCCACATCATCTGAAGGGGAAAAGGGAAAAATAAAGCAATATCTGCTCTCTTGATACATTACAAAAGAAATATCCAAGCATACCTGGTGAAAATATTACAAGAGAGCCAAAAAGAAGTCCAACCTTAAAGAAGATGTGACTACTCTGTTAGTTCAAGGAAATTTATTTAAATAGAAACCTTTTCACAATAAAAGATGAATTTCAGGTTTAAAAAGATGTTATTTCCAAGATAACTGAAGAGACCTGAAAATTTTTCCCAAGCAAACATCCACCAGTAATTAAAATAATGGACCTCCAAGGCAAATGTATGTGTGTCTCTGTGTGTGTGTGTGTGTGTATTTTCACTGGGAAAAAAAAAAAAAAAAAAAAAAGGAACTATTGCCTCTCAAAACGAACAGAAGAAGATGTATAAATCAGAAACATCTCAAAGAAAAATAAGAGACATGATATATAAACAGAAGATGTATCTTAACTATTCCTGTTATATATATATGTGTGTGTGTATATCATGGACTCTAAAATACATAAAAATAACTTGTGGAACTAATTATATTGATGTAAAATGGAACCATGATTAGGTAGAATGTCCGAAGCCTTTTGTTTCAAATCATTGTGAAAAGTTTGTCAAATTTATTTTAATTCCTTTCATTGTGATGCAACCTAGGATTTATGTAGAGAGAGAGATTCTTTCAACTATTTGATGAAATATCAAATAACAAATCATATGACGATAATCAACCTTATATTATTTAACGAGCACTAAAGCTCAAAATTCTATTAAAAAACTCAGTGTAAATTACCACCAAAGTTCCAATTCATATTTATATCTCCAATCCCAGGAAAGACAATGAAACAACAAAATCCACTACTGAGAGAGCCCAAAAGCAAAGAATGAAAAGGAAGATATTCCTTTTTTTGAAGGAGTAATTTTTTTTTTTTTATAAGTAAAAAGAAGCAAATAAATAGAAGGATATCATTGGCATAATTTTACAGTCCACAGGGATTAAAACCAAGAAGCTATACTAAACTAGTTGGAATCACAAATGTCAGTAAATATGCAAAATGGAAGAGAATTCTCCTCTGTTGTGTTTGGGAGCACCAAATAGGCTCATATAATTGGAATTGAAGGAAAATTAGTTTCAAGTTCGAACTAAATTTCCTTCAATTCCAATTCCAAGGCATCGATTCGGTGCTCCCAAATATAGCTTTAATGAAAGAGTAGTGATACGCAGGCCGAAGAGTTGCAGTGAATTGACTAGCCGAATGGTTTTGATTGGTTATTTATGAAAAATACAAAATCATTTTCCTTCATGAAAATATCTTAACTGTGGTCACAGGTTGCCACTGGAGCCATGGTACCTCTCAGATTCCAAAATTCTGATGAACTCCCAAAATTGCAAGAACAGAGCTTTTCAGAACTTTCGTTTCATGATGTGTTACATAAAAATGTATGTGCATATATGATATATGAAAAAGGCATATTTTTAACGACTATGTAGAACTACCATTTTTCAACAAATGTGGGTAAATCAATCCCCAAATTTGCTCTGCTCCATCTTCAAAAGAACTTTTTGAGGATTATTCTAACAAAACACTTCTCAGAGTCAATAATATTGAAAAACTAAAAAATCAACAGTAAGCGGTGCCACTTCACACTTAATTTACCAAAGTCAAGCGCCAGTTGATGAACTCTAGTAGTTGTAAAACTTCAAAGGCCACTCACCCATAACAACAACTATCAACCGTCAGAATACCCTTTCATTTCTTAATGATGATCAAAATCAATGAGTTATTCTTTCTTGATCAATCGAAATTCGAAACCAGTGGATGAAACAAACAACAAAATCACAGTAAATTCTACAATTCATAGTCCTGTAGAACTTATCGATAAATCAAACCAATACCAGCAAATAAAGTCATATGAACAATATATGCAAGTGTGTTTCTGTGTGTGAACAAATACACTCACAAACTGGTGTGGACATGTGTGTGTGTGTATATATATATACATACATACATACATATGTATGTATGGAGCAGAATTGAGGAAAATATACCTGACAAATATCACATTTAGGCATGTGTGAGGAAGAGCCAGATAGAGGAACTCTCTGGTGCTTGCTCGCGAGCTTGTTGGCGGCATGAACTTTCTCATCGCATGCCCAACACAGAGCCGCCTCGTCGGCACAGCACAGAACGTTGGCCTCCGCTGCCTCGCAAACGTTGCACTGAATCTTCATCTTATCTCTCTAGAAATCCTATATTTTCTCTCTCTAGAAATCGGAGGTTAGAGAAGGTTGAAAGCCCTAAGTTTGAGATCTATGGTGTGTGGTGGCAGTGGTAGTGAGTTTCTACGGAGGGGTTTTAGCAGTAAATGAACCAACCGAAAGGGAAGAAAAGAGAAGGGGTTGGTCTAACATGTATTGGTTTTCTTTCGTGCACGTGTCTTTCTTTTATGTAGTGTACCAGTGAGACCCACTATGCATTATTTCTGCAAATAAATTGAACATGCAAAACTTTACAGCACTATTAAATTGTGAATGCATCAGTGAGACAGTGATGTTGTCCAAGACAGTACTCCCGTAACCACTGAATTTAAAAGGGTAAAATGACCTCCCTAAAGTTTTAACTAATTGTAACTAAATTTGGAATTTGTCATTTTGTTACAAAGACCCCATTATCCGATTTTGTAATAAATTTATTTATCTACCTTCATTATTATATTATTAAAAAATTAAAATACCTAGAAATAACAAATTACCCTTTTACCCAATAACATTTATCCTCTTTCTTCTCATCTCTCGCCTCCACCAATAACACTACCAAGACTACTTATTCCACCACCATCACCACCCACAGTGCCACCATAACCGCCAAAGTGGGTTTGTATAGCAAGTGACATATGGGTTATATGCGTGTAAAATTGAAAATATATATATATATATACACACCACCACCACCAAGCACCATCACTTCACCGCCCCCACCAAGCACCATTTCTTCCTCTTTTTCTTTTTCAAAACTGAAACCCATCTCCAATATTCAATCTCAAGCCTATCTCCTCAGTCGGCTGTTCTAACATTCAATTTCAAGCTTATCTCCTCAGCCAGCGGTTCCAATATTCAATCTCAAGCCTATCTCCTCAGTCGGCAATTCCGTATTGTACAACAATGCTTTGAATGTAAGCATCTAGGTTAGACCGAATTGAAGGCAAGCTAATCGGCCAAGGCCAAGGGTTAGACGCTCCATTGATTCCAGCGAAGCAAAGAAGAAAATAGAGCTCAACCCAAACCGTGACGAAGAAGATCATGCGAACTGAAACTCCATTGATTCAGGCGAACTCGAGTGACGAAGAAGAAATTAGAATGAATCGGTGATGGTGGTGGTGGTGGTGGTGGGTTCGATTAAGACACTACAATGGTGGTGGTGGTGGGTTCGATTAGGGCTCTGCAATCGGTGTCGTGATTGTGGTGGTGGTGGGTTTGATTATGGCTCTGCAATCGGTGTCGCAATTGTGGTGGTATTGGGTTTCGATTACAATCGGTGATGGTGGTGGTGGATCGATGAGGGCTCTACAACCGTGCCACCACAAATTCCTTAAGCGGGTGGTGCAGCGGCGGTGACGGACCGGCGATGATGAAGACGGCTCGGCTGCGGCGGCTCAGATGTTTCGGCCATAATGGACGGCAGGCGGTGGTGAAAAATTCACGGCAAGCAAGGATCTGGGCACGATGATGGCTGCCATGAGTGGTTCGGAAGCTCAACGGCGGTGACGGACTGCCGTGACTGGTTCGGATCGGACTAGTCTGATCTTTATATATATATATATATATATATATATGTATGAATTTGTAACCATATATCTATTATATATGTGTGTGTGTGTGTGTGTGTGTGTGTGTGTGTGTGTGTGTGTGAATTTTGCACACAAAACACATTATTTGATTTGGGCGTTGCATATGGATTTAGCAAAAGTGATAGTGGCAGTGAAAAAGTGGAGGTGGGTTCGAACGGAGAGAGAGACAATGGTTTAAGGGTAGTTTGGTCCACTTAACATGAATTTTGTTGTCATTTGTTTACATTACAAGGGTAATAGAGTCTTTTTACGTTGTTGATGGGCATTTTAGTCACTTCAAACTGATTTTTTGATAAAAAAAAAAATATTATTTTTTGTACAAAGGGAAGGTCATTGCAAAATGGAAAAAATCTCAAGGGGTCACACTGTAACAAAATGGCAAATCTTAGGTTTAATTACAATTAGTCCAAACTTCAGGGGAGGTCATTGTAATTTGCCCAATTTAAAAAGACTTGTTAAATATTTTATTTCAAAATTTCAAACTCTCTTTAAACTCTCTTTTTTATTTGAAACTCTCTTTTTTTATTTGTGTTTTTTTATTAAACACTCTTTTTTTATTTTTTTGTCAAAAAAAAATTACCCTCAACTATTGAAGGAGGTGATTTAACTAACGGAAGTTAGTTGAAAGAGAATTGAAATATAAATTGACTTAAATACTCAGTAAAGCCTATTTAAAAATCTACTTTACTTCTTATTTTTTTTATTTATTAAATAACCTAAACGACATTATTCACAGAAATTAACACTTCTATTTTTTTTTTTTTTAACATTTTACTAAACTAACAAGTTTGCATTAGTCACATGGAAGGAATTTTTTATTTTTTTATAGAAAAAAAAATGATATTAAAATATATATATATATATAAAATAAAAAGAAGAAGAAGAAAACAAGTAGACATAAATATTAATATAAAAAAGAAAAAAATTAGGCATTATTTCTGTCCCTAAATCTATATAAAATAAAAATTAATAAAAACTAAATAAATGAATGCACAATATAATTCTTATATATATATATATATATATATATATATATATAGCAGATAAATTTCAAAAAAAAAACCTAAATTTATATTGGTCTAATGGCTGGATGAAAATGAAAATATAGTACAAATAATATTTAATGGTAAATATTATGTATACTATTATATTATGATACAAATTATATATAATATTATATTAATGGAAGAGTACGTGTTGTTGTAATGGTGGAAGATATGCGGTTAAGAGTGATATATTAAAATAGGTACTTGAGGAGGCCCAGGACGACATGGGCCGGATCTGACTTGCAAGCACTATATCCGGTCCGTACAGTTGGGTCAGCCCATATAAAGACACTGCCATATGGGCCGAACGCGAGTAAGCCCATCAAAGGTGACCAGGACTTATGGAGGAACAGGCCCAGATCCAGCAGTCAGTCAATATTTGTAAATATCTTGTAAATATCTATAAATAAAGGAAGGAATGGAAAATACAGGGGGATCGATTTGGTTGAAGTGTAAGAATTCTAGAGAGAGAAAGAGGGAATGAATTTCTTGCATCTTCAATTGGCGCCGTCTGTGGGAATCGTATGGAAGTTTGGTTGATCAATGAGGAATATCGAGTGGATTCAGACCAATTCGGTTGATCGAGACTCGATCTTTGGGATTTAGATCCAGATCTGAGCGATTGTGACCTACTCTGGAGGAATTACAATTCTTGAAGCTTTGGCAGAAGTGGCTTCAGATCTACGCAACAACGAGTTGTTCGATTGTGGCGGGATCTGACGGATTTAGAGTTCAGACAATTCAGATCTCGTAAACGGTGAGCGTAATTCGGAGAATTCGAAGCCAGATCTGAAAAATTCCCACTCACGAAGCTCAGATCTACTCGCGAACTTGAGATTAATGCCTTTACTCCGTTCAGGAATAATGATAGGTGAAAGCTCCAATCCGATGGAGGCTGTCCAGCAAACAAAGCTTGAGGAGTTGATGAACTTGATTGAGGCTCTCAAAAAAGAGAATGCAGAATTGAAAGCTGGAATGCAACATCGGCAAATACCTGTGGTTTCGCATCCACTTCCGGTCGGTGAAGGATGTGTTCAATCTAATATCGCGCGTCAAGGCGAACAGGACGAGAACAATCAGTCAGCTCACCACCGTGATGAAAGGATGATGGACAATTTGCCGCCAAATGTTCGTCGAGTTGAAGATCACGAAGGATCGACTCACGTTGATCCGCATCGGGAAAGGTTCGACCGAGAGGAAGTGATAGAGGTTGATCGCCGTCGAGTAGCGTCGCCTTGGCAAAGAGAGTTCATAGAGGAACGGTCGTTCGATCCGTCTTACCGGCCATCCATGGCTACTATCACTCATCACGGTTCGGAGGGCAGAACCGTAACTCACAGAGCTACCGCTGGACTCCAGAGAGAGAATGAAGCTCTCCGATCCGCAGCTCGGACGGTTGACTCACCATTCACCAACGAGATCTTGAATGCCCCGCATCCAAGGAAGTTTGCTATGCCAGTCTTTATTCTGTTTGACGGAACAACCGATCCGATCGATCATGTGTACCATATCCAGTTGAAAATGGCCCTGAATACGGAAAACGACTCTCTAATGTGCAAATGTTTCCCTACAAGCCTGGGCGGACCGGCGCTCAGCTGGTTCAAAAACTTGCCTAGGAGCTCCATTGGTAGCTTCAGAAACCTGTGCGATCGGTTCATAAGCCAGTACTATGGGAACAAGCGCCCGCCGAAGGACATATCGAGTCTATTCACGATGAGGCAGCACAAAGATGAACGTCTCCAGGCTTTTCTTACCAGGTTTAATCTCACTAAGAGTATGGTGATCGAATGCCACCCTTCTACAGCAGTTCAAGCCTTCAAGTTAGCCATGACACGTGGAACTCCGTTTCACACTAGTCTGGTAGTGAACACGCCGACTACTATGGATGAACTCAATGAAAGAGCCGATGGCTTTGTGCGCCTAGAAGAAGAGGAGGCAGCTAATGCTCGGACAGCGTCGCTCGTGTCGACCGAAGAAAAGTCCAAGGCAAAGATCAGGCAGAAGCAGGCTCAGCCGCAACGTCAGACCTCTTGGAAGGCAGAAAAAAGGTCCAGGGAGGAAGAGTTGATTACTCCGCTGAAGGTCACTCTGGCGAGGCTGTATCAGGAGAACAAAGATAAGTTTCATCTACCACTGCCAATTAGGCAACCCCTCGAACAGAGGGATCAAACTAAACATTGTGCTTTCCATTCCGATTTCGGTCATCAAACTAATGAATGCAGGAACCTGAGGAGGCAGGTGGAGATGTTGATAGCTAGAGGGGAGTTCGCGAGTTATGTTCAAGGCTCGGCGATGGAGCAAAATCGACCGGTGGAACAAATAAAAAGGAGTCATAAACAAAGCTCCCACAATTCACAACCAGTTCGTATAATCAATGCTATCCATGGTCGACCCGAGCCTAGTGAAGAGTCAGATGAGTTACTCCGGGCGCGCCTGCGGCAGGCGCAGATGAAGAAAAGAGTCAGCAGTGTGAATACTCTACACCAGCAGAGCCCGTCGATGCAGATAAAGTTCGACTGGACA